GTATACCGTTGATTCCGGACATCATGCAAAATACAGCGAGGCATTCCATGTGATTTATAAGGTTCCACGGCACTACCCTGTCACTGTGTCAGCCCCTGTTGTCAACAGTCGGGGCGGCTGCCATTAGGCTAAGCAATCCATTCTTATGCAACGTGGGCTCCGTATTTATCATGACTAAAAATCGGTTAACTGCATGTAAGTTTCCACATGTTCATTATTGGTTCACCTAAGAATGGTTGAAATATTTCAATTATTTTCGAAAATGAGGCTTGAGCAAGATAAGCGTAGAGAGTCCTTAGCTATTAACGGGGCGAATACTTTTAGATCTGTTGCTCAGGTTTTCCCTCATAGATCGTCTGCTAAGTAACACCAAGTCATTCAGCCTTTGCTGATTCCCGACAATACGTTCATTACAGAGGAGTCAGGAAAGGCAGAATTATTAAATTCATTCTTTGCCAAGCATGTTACCATTGTGACTGACCCAATCCCTTCAACTCCTTCATTTGTTGATGCCTCCCTCACCACCTTTGATTTCGCTCCCGCAACTATTCAGAAACTGATAAACCGGCATGCTAACTCGCCCTCATTTGGGACTGGCAATATCCCGAACTCTCTTATAAAGCAGATAAGAGATTTTCCTTCTCTGCTTAGCAAACTCTTTTCAGACTTTGTAGAAAATGGTTTCTTTCCCGATTATTGGAAAACAACCTTTATTCCATTGTCTAAATCTGACCGTTATTTTGATGTTCGAAACTATGGGGTATTTATCCAGCACCTTCTTTCGCCAAAATCTTTGAAAAAATTATCGCCTTGAAAATTACCGACATTTGTATAGCCAATCAAGTCAACAGCCCTTTCCAATAAGACTATTTAACTGATCGCTCTTTCGAAGTGTGTCATATGGCGTTTTTGAAATTTATTAACCTCTCTTGATAATGATAATTTATTTGTAGTTATTTATTTTGATCTCAGTAAAGCCTTTGATAAGGCGTTCCATAAAAGGCTCTTGGTTAATTCAGAAGCTCTGGGACTTCGCGGTCCCCATATAGACTTTACCAAGTCATGCCTGTCTAATTGTAAACAAAAGGCTTTAGTGGTACCTTCGTTTTTCAATGTCAGCCCAATCGTAAGTGGTGTCCTACAATCTATCACTTTAGGTCCTCTTTTGTTTCTGCTTTATATTAATGAAAGCTCGTCGGCCGCTAAATATTCTCAATCAGTTATTTATGCTGGTGACCTCCCTCGCTAAATCCGCGACTCTTCATTGTCTAGAGCAAATGCATGCTGCCTTGCTTGCTCTTTGAGCATGGATCTCAAAGTGGCTAATGGAGTTCTCTCCATCAAAATGGCGCTATATGCGTTTTGGATCCGATATGCTATCCCAACTAGTGGTCTTCCAAGGTACATTTATGATTGAATGTACCACCATCAGGGATTTGAATTTAGGCTGCACCAATGCTCTTGATCTGTCGTCATACGCCGATAGAATCGCGTCAAAGCTTACCAGATTTGTTGCTTTACTTATTACAATTTCCATGCTCCCCAAAATAAATTAAGATTCTGTCGTATGTTTGTATTTCCCATTCCCGAGTATTGTCGACAATACCTTGTTTTGTTGAACGAGGCTAGTAATTCAAAAATTGAAAGTCGTCAAAGACATTTCGCCAGAAGACTCTTAGGAACGGAACGCACAAATGGGTCCCCGACGGGTCTTTAATAAAAGTTATTATTATTAATTATTTCCCAGTTAGATAGATGTAAAATAACCCACGAAAAATGTCATGGGTTCAAAGACTAGAAGCGGGCTTCTACCCTCTTTCATAGTGATAGTATTTGGTATTAGATAGGGGATTCAATACGTACATTTTCAAGGCAACGCTCCCCAAACCGAATGAGGCTATCCGCCTCGAATTTGCAAGACTGAGGAACCTAGACGTAATCGGGCACAGTCCACTTAGATTCCAGCCGGGGAGGGGACGTTAAACGCTGGGGTGGTCATCAAAGCGTAGAAGGGAGAATGCGACCCTGAGATGTCTTCGCTGACAGACAAAGCAACCAGCAAATGACGAAAGCAGAGGATTTACGGCGTAGTCGTCAGCAAAAAATTTGGGGTCGAAATGAGTAGATGATCTCAAGGACCGCAAAATTCAAGGCGGGGGGGATGGGCGAGGGTTAAAAATCGCAGAGGTCAGAGTGGAATTCTGATGAGTTTCGGTGATCTGCGAAATTGAGGCGGCTAAGAGCTTGCACGGGTGCTGAAATTCGAGGATGTTATCAAATACAGGTGAGAAGGAATCCCTAGAATAGTTGAAGAGAAACATTAAATGACTACGTGGCACCTTGGAGAATACGGTCACTTGCAAACGCGAATGTCGCAATTCCACTTCTTGTCGGTGACTGGAATAACTTGCGCTAATAAAAACATCCCTTTTCAACGGGGATCCAAGCAAGCCCTGACGTTGTTGCTAACATTCTACTTTGTCAGGCGTATACGAAATTATAGATCTAGGACTGATAACAGCAGTGGTTTATGGTGTCACTTATCCCCCTTCCACATTCCATTTCACATTTGTTTGCCTCCTACAGTGTTCTGGGGCAATCTTACTGTTTATAATCCTGCCATTTAAATCAGCCTTAAATTTCATTGGAATTGCCATCCAGGCGTTTACAAATGAACATATTGTCATCTGAGATAAGGGTTTTCGAGTCCACGCGGGAAAGATGAGTGTTAAGCATAGTTAATATGTGCCTCCTATGACATGTTTTTCGGCTTTCTAATCCATGTTAGGTCCATGTATCCATTCTAGCTAATAGTTTGATAGGTACATCACAGGTCAGGAGTCGGTAACTGTTTTACTCCAGCCGAGCATGAAAAATCTTAAAATTCCGCAGCATGACACTGGACATATACGTATAATCAAAAAAGTTTCATATTGACCCACAGTTGGGTAAATATGAATTATTCAAAATCTGCCAAAATACTAAAAAAGTTTGTTTTATGGTCAAATTGCAACAGCCTTGATGTGTTGCAAAGGACCATCCGGCACTCCACGATATTAGTGTCGTTAGGTTCCATTTACTCGATCCTGCAGATTTGCGTTAATGCCAGTATGCAGGCGTTTTACATTGCGGTTAAGGAGCACAGTCACCAGCGAATCGTTTAAATTTGCGAATCCTGATGAAAAGTGCCTGTAAATGCCTATTTCAATGCTCAACAAACAATTATACCTAAGACTGGCACATTATTTTAAAGTATGCAGGCGTTTCACATTGCGGTTAAGGAGCACAGTCACCAGCGAATCGTTTAAATTTGCGAATCCTGATGAAAAGTGCTTGTAAATGCCTATTTCAATGCTCAACAAACAATTATACCTAAGACTGACACATTATTTTAAAGTCGTCACACAAAGTAGCCTTTAAAAACACAGGGCTTAAGTAAGGCCCAGACACAACTACACGATTTACTCCTTATAAAGGTGAAAACTCACCAAGTTACTCCTGCACACACACACCTCTGCGCGCACAGTTTCTTAACGGTTTCTTTTCGTAAAGTTGTATTTGTTTGGTCTATTGCTGTGTCTGCATGAATTTAAACGTTTGAACTTAAATATTTCGTGCACTTTGAAACCGTATTCGGTCGCGAAAACAATTAATAATTGTTGACGACTATTTCGGAAATATTTTCTAAAAAATTCCATGAATAAGTGAACCTGCAAATATCGAGCAGGGAATATGCGGGGGTCAACCGTAATTTGAGTTGGGGATCCCGTCCCGCTGGCAGCGAATGGACAGACTGTGGAGACCATAACCCCCAAATGTACGTGATATCTGGCAATACTTACAAAGAGCAGTTTGTCCCAGTTTCCTCCCGGTTTCTGGAAAAAATCTTGGCCGGTATTGCATCGATTTTCCACGTTTAGATTCGCATCAAACCTCAGCCCATACGAGTCCTGCTAAAGGTCATAAGTATGAACCGACGTTTTATCTATATCAAAATTCGTTTTAAGCATATTCTGGCAATTACTACTTTACCCTTTATTAAAATAAGTCCGTTTTATGCGCTGTTACTTTTGCTATTTTTCATTTCCTAGCAGTTCCGTCCCTTTCCAACTTCGTTTCAAATGTTAAAATGTTAAAACTCTCAATAAAAAGATGACGGTCCGTTACTCACGGAGAGTTTTCTGTTTATTCGCTCTCTGGATTTCATCTAACTATTCTAAATTTTTGCCGGACGCAAATGAGACCCCTCTGCACTTTTTACATGTAAGTTCGCATCTTTTCTAAGATGTAAACAATCGAGGTTAACTCTACTTGCTGCTTAACTCCAATCCGCCGTCCACCAAGTGTCACAATATGTAGGTTAATTGCAACTGTAACGTCCCTTGAATCATGCAGAGTTGTTCGAATGAACTGACACATTTTGAGCGCTGAGCCAGGATGGAGATGTTGTGACCGCGTCTTGTTGAAAATAACCGGTGTTCTGCTCTCGCATACCCGCAGACCCCCTTCTCGTTGTTATCGCGGTTAACATATGTATTTCCCTCGTCACATCGACACTCTCAACGACCCTACCTCGAAGTTGCTGACAGCGCTGCATTCCCCACCGGTTGTCTAGCCGATATGTTAGAATCGCCTCCTCACCCAGACGAGTCCTCCCTCCTGATGTAAAACTCATTTCACTCGTATCACTTAACAGTTTCGAATGTATTAGTCCAACTGTACTTAGTATATATACTTCGTACATTTTACTTTTGCTACTCCCAGCTTGGATGTGATCAATGACCCGTTTATCAACTCAATTTAGACAAATATTAGCCAAGAGTTATACCTAATGTTCCACGTTACCTCGTGTGTGCCACCATAAACGTCTTCGAACACCACACAACATCCTCGCAGTATCTTAGGATTACGGGTTCTATATATTTCCGGAGCCTTTGCGTTTTTGTCGTTTGCCAATGTCCCGCGCCGTTTGGTTTTCCTTTTCGACTTTTAAACCCTAAATGGTTTCTTGCGAGTCTATCGTAAGACTCCTAGGTATTCAGCATTTGTATACAGTTGACACTACAGATAACCTTGAAAACAATGATGAACCATATGAAATACATATATTAAAGGTAAGTATTCGCAATAGTTTGTTATTGAGGAGTGCCTATTTATGACTTAAGTCATAAATAGGATTTCATGGGTAAATTTACCCATGAAATCCTGAACGGTTATAACTTCCGTCACGACAGGACACAGCTATAGTAATTCGCCTGGTCTCATTAATAACTGAGAAGGCATGTGCGCAGGAAGTTTTACGATCGTCGTTAAAAATTTCGGCATTTCAAAATATTACTCAGCTATTACTTTGAATTATTTTGGAAGAAGAGCCATGCTAGAGGGCCTAACTATCTTGTCCGGCGCTCTTCTAATTATTGACAATCCGATCTGAAAATCTGAATCTCAGTTTTTACCCGAACATGTTCGGCTGCCTCCGTAACCGGCTAATTTTCTGGATAAGCGGTCCTGTTCTCGTTTTCGTCCCCATTTCCCTTCCTATTTGTCTCAAATGGCAGTAATATCGCTGTAGAAAGACTCTGTATGTACGTAGAATATTATTTTGAAAGTTCAAACATACGAAAAATTGAAAATAACAAAAAAATAGCAAAGGTAGTTTATAAAGGTAAACGTTACAATGCTTTCTTCATTCATGAAGTATGTACAGTAGCCGTTTTATGGTTGTTTGGAAACACAGGCTTCCCAGTTTTCTGTCTGGTCGTCTCTGTCGTCTGAAATAGTGTAGGAAAATGATGTATCTCATGGTAGGTAATAAGTGTGGTTCTAATCTAAGGGATTAACTATCAACACTATCTTAAGCGCCGGTCCTATGGCCGCATTCTTGAGCTCGGTCGGAAGCTTTCTCGAAGGAACTTTTGGAGGTCTTCTTGGCCCGTTGGCAGCCAAGCCGCCAACCGACGTTCCGATTCTCGAAAACGTCTGCGTGGCATATCGTAAATGAACAACATAAAGGATAGAACCCAAGAAAGCATTTTTTAGCGTTGCCTATCGTAAATGTGAGACAAGGGATACTTTAATCTGCGAACAGAGCATTGAGAATGGGGTCTTCGTAGGCGCCTGCTCGGTTTCCGCCAAACGTTAACTAGTGCAAAATCTGGCGGCCTAGTTCTAATGTAACGGGTTACTTATCACCTGCTGCCTATACGCGCTGCCTGACTGCGCTGATGAAGGCGTCAGGGTCCTCGAAGGTGACCATATGTTTACACATGGGCCCAGTGACTTGGGCGTGGATCTACTGCAGCTCATCAGCGTGTCGATATCCTGTTCGAAAACCCTAATCTGTAACTTCAGCTCATTGAAGTTTCGCATGTGTCGCAGTTGGAACTGCATCAGCCAGCGACGTGGTAGGTAAAGTAGGTCAGACACTACGATATACTCAGCCTTAACTAACCGCCGCAAGAAGGACCACCAGTTCATCGGTGCATTCTCTCATGCAGTTTGTTGCCCTGCTTGAAGGCTTTTTCAAGCGGATACAGATCGAGTGTGTGTTCTGCGTGTCACATGGGAAAACGTCGGCGTGAAGATTTGATGATAAGAAGCGTGTAGGAGGATTATCACGGATGAATCGGGACTATCCATGCTTCCTCTTAAACCCATCGAAGTAAGTAAGAAGGCAAGCTATTTTGTCAACAGTGAAGGAAGAAATGCGGGAAGTAAAGGCGTCCGTTTCGTCTTCTCGGAAACTGCAAACGTACGTCGTTTGGGGGAATGACGTTGCCATTTCCTACCTTTACGCCAGTCTCGAAGGCCTTATTTTACTGTTGAGAGAATTTAATCAAAGAGGGCTTTAAACTTAGAAATGATGGCGGTTGTTGGCAGTGCTACCTACTGTACCGTTTGTTTAACCGCTTCCATGTACAAATGTATATTTTACAACTTACCTTCATTTAGGCTTTCATCTCTTGGCCTGGAAAACCTACATGGTAGGTGTAGATATGTCAGACTCCGGACGGCCAATAGGGAAAGTGCAGCTCCCGTCGGCGTAACACTGGAATCCGTGTTGTCGCCATCTAGAAGTCGTAGTGTAAGGTTGCGGAAGTGTGAGGTGGGCTACCAGTGGCAATGGCGAAGTGTCTTCAAGTAGCCACATGTCTTCAGCTAGATACATTCGCAGATTGACGCCGACAATGATTCATTGCCGACGATAACGACACCTTTGCGTTAAAAAACGAAATTTCCGAGAACGGCGGCATGTAGGTTTTTCCCTAATCTTGCCTTGCACTTCTCAGCAGATTTCCTTGGCTTTCCGATGTTTATGCCGCGCAGTCATGCTGTTAAACGCCGGTTGGCTCTGGTTAGCGATCCAGGGTATTTGGCAAAACGTCTGAATCGTCGACACAGATAACGCTTGCGCCCATCACAACAACACGGGAAAGAACACTAGCTAATGCGCGCACAAAAACACACGTCGTATGCGATTCCTAATTAACACGCGCTTGTCTCCTGTTCAACAAAGCCGAAATGCCATTCGCATTCCACTGCTTTTGAAGACAAAACGATTTTGTAGTTAAAACATCTGTTCGTCAGCCCAAAACCCTGACTATCTCCCAAGCCAACTTCCTAAGACACTGAAAAACGTTGCAAACATTGCTGCCCACACCTCAGTAAGTAAACAGGAAATTTAAATGTTGTCGCATATGGTTTGTTATGTAAAAGAGTTATCCGAAATAAAACTTTATTTTCTGCCTCATCAACTTCCAGGTCTCGAATTTCCCCAGTAGCAGTGCAGTCTTCGCCTTTTTTTGGCGATTTAGGCCACAAGTATAGTGCTTTTGACCAGTAAAATATCTTATATCACCATGTAGTAGGCCGAATTTACGGCCTTATAATCGGCTGAAACTTCCAAAACAGCAGATCTTCGCGCCTTACCTTCGCTATCGGACAAATCCTGACCAACATACCGTAAAGAGGCGCATCATGTGGGCTATATGCATGCATGATTATTTGTTTGATTGAAACATTTCGGTTGCTTCTGGTTAGGTTACTTCCTCTTACTCTGCGCCACACATTGTTGGTCTCCTTGCTAAATGTGCTCACACCGTTTTTTGCAAATCAAAATGTTTGACTTGGTATTAACATATGGGAAGGGCCACTTTTGGGAGATTCCCTATATTTTTATCGCCGATGACAGCAATGTCCTGAATCGGAGACAGGCGTTTGCAAGTAGATCAAGTTTAAGAAAGGCATAGTATATCCTGTGTACTCTGACTTTAAATGCGAGAAATGATTTATCCGCGCTGGCGCGCGTTCGGGCCGTCTGTATATGCTATCATTTAACTGGGCGCAGTTATCCTTTCGTTAATTTTAGCCAATGGCAGATAGCTGATGCGTGAGTAGTCAATTAGCACCGGGGCTTATTTAACTCGTCACCTCGACCCATAGTCCCAATTACGTCATAACTGAAGACTCGTCTCGCCGTGAGTTGTGCTTAACCTCGGGGTGACCGACTGATGTTGATGCATTCGCGTTTGCAGAGGTCGGCTGGCCACTGCGACTTCAGACAACGGCCGACTTATCAGCAAGGATGGAGTCTTTTTACACACATCTTTGTCATTATGCCATATTTCAATTTTAGGATTTAGGAATATCGTTAGATTCTCCGAATACAGGTACGTATCTCGATCCTGCTTTTCGATAATTATTTATGTGACCTACCGAAGCAATCGACCTCCAGAAGTTCGTCCACCAATTACAGTGCAGCCACCTGCCCGCGAAGAAGATGAACTCTCTTCTGTGCTCTTTCACTGAAGACCTGATTTTACAGTTCGGCTCTGAAAATGAAAATGGTGCCCCAAGTTTGTCGCCTTTCTTTGACACTTGACAAATTTTAAAGTTGACGGCTACTTTTCGAAGGCAACTTTTAACTCGTTCCCGAATGTCGACTGTGCATGGCACCAGCTTTTTATCCAGGTATGTCATATTGTAGTCGTCCCACAATCAAGCATTTTTCGGCATTTTAAATTGCTTTTATGAATATCCGAAGGGCAGCCGCTGGTGACCTAGTTGTCTTGGTTCAGTATGAAAATACCTCAGATTCATTTAAGTTTCATTAAGGGGAGGGGCGGGTAGGCGAACACCTATGAACTCCCTAACAGTTGCAGATTTTCTAAACAAAAACGCTGATAAGTGGAAAATCAAGAAAGAGATTGCTGACATAATTGCATGTGAGAAGCAAGCAACTGTCTGTCAGTCAACCAAATGTAAACATGAACTCCTACTCGCCAATTTCAAGCAGTAAGGACATATGAATTCAGAGACTGATTATGTAAGTACGTGTGGCTGGTAATCGGGAATCTTGATACATGTCAAGTTTACGTTTAGATGAATTTCAAACATGATGTCTAGGCAATCGATCCACCTAGGAGAGGGATGACTACTATTGAATCGTTTTTGCACAGTTTTGAATTCGCTACAAACGCTGACAAACTTATCCGAATACGTCAACTACTCATGATTAATACTTCTGATTTATAGCTAGCCCTTCAGAGGAAAATAACTCAAATTAAGTGTTCAACCCTCTCCATTGCCTTTATTTAAGCCTTTTTGTTACGAACGCCCTGTTTTCTTACTGGGCAAGGACTGATCAAGTGTAGATACCTTGATATAATTGGAATCTTCCGTTCGATCGCCTGATATTGCAAGCTATGGAAAGTAAGCATCTCATACATCCAGGGGCCGATTTGTCTGTACAAAGCCATCCTCTAGGCCTTCCAAATCAGAAGGGCAGGTCTTACCTCTTGCAGAAGACAGTCAAATGGCCACAGAACTGCTGCCGGCGTTTTTCAGCTTGCGTACTAGACCTTAACGAAATTTCGCACCAAATTTCCGCCTACGTGCAGGAGTTTGCTGATCATCAGACTCGCGTGCTACTTAAAAGCATTCAGTGGCATGGTGTTTTGACGGTTTCTGCCTGCGTTCATATTCCGCAACGCTCGAGGTATTCATCTGGGACATTCCAGTCCCCGTTTTGTGCGTCATGGCCCAATTCAGTGACGTCTTGAGTTTCCCAAAGGAGGGAAAATGGATTACTCCACGGACCTATTAACTGTGACTGTGACTACTCTTTGCGGTGCCAAAGTTCAAGAAACAGCAATTGGTGATGATCCTGCAGAACGTTTTCTTAATCCCCACCAGCTTCTAGCGGTTATGCCTTCTTGTTGTGATGATTGTTCCAGCCGTGGTCGAAGCAATGCCCGTTTTCTCCCTTTTTGCTCCGATTGTAGCTCCTTTTAACCGTGCCCGGAAATGACCTCATTGGGATGTTACAGAAGCTTCTCGTCTCGAGGGAATCGTCTTCTAATCTTCGTTGGAATATCCTCCTTCCCCTCGTTTCCTGTCTAGCCGTCTGTGTTAAGGGTGGCGTTCATCTGCTAAAAGGTGTGTTTTTCGAAATTTTCACCCTTCTCAGTCCTCTGAGGATTGCATTGTCAATTATAGGGAAGCATTCTTGAGAAGATTAAAGGAGGTAAACATTGAAAATTACAGTTTTTCCAGAAGTCGCGTGGGAAAAGTTGGTGGGCCCACGAATGAGCCGCTTCCCGCGGCGGTAAAAATCCACGAAACACGCTTTTCTGGGCTTTTGGCTAGTGCCCGTGTCGTCAATGTGGCGGATCATTCAAAATTCAACTTTCGAACCGAGCCTGAAAGGGTTTATTTCGAAGGATTCACTGCTTGGTGTGGGAATAGGTACCCTCCCTCCTGGAAGGACTAAGAAACCCACTAAAACTCACCGCCTGAATTTGTTTTCCGTAAGCCGAAAACTGACTAAATTACAGCCAATGCCCTAACTATCGATATCTGGTGGTGTTTATAAGATGACCTCCGGCTGTGATAGTCTGGATGAGTATGGTTTCAGCAGGAAGACACGTTCGTTATCGTCAGCACCCTAGCTGGCGCGTGGACAGAATGGGATCGAACAAGACTCCAACCCCAATAAGTGCGGAGCGCGCGTCCACTTGACGAGGTGAACTTTGTCGACACAACCCTTACAGGTCAGCTTTTTTTCTCTCGTAAAGGTAGTTTGGGGTCCGGAATAAGTACCCCCTGAACTAAATTCCCATAGAGTGTCTACTGATTTGATTTAGGTAGGCACTCTCGGTCACTAGTCGGAGGCGCCTGCGCTAACGCTTCTACGCGACCAGATGGGGAGGGAGGTTGTGGTCCACTTTAAAGGACGTTGCCGTGATTCTGTCATTCTTATGAACCACATCAAAAACATGTGGACACCTTATGCCGGTTGCCTAAGAACGCGCTTATCTTGATATTTCTTACCTGACCGATTTTTTTGACGGTTTCCTCCGGGTCGCTCAATGATCGGAAGTATCACCTAAGCATAATTTCGAAAAAGTTAAACTCAAGAAGAGACGTAGAAGCCATTGCAATTCGCGTTTGGCCAATCGCCCGATAGCAGGCCAAAGTATTCTGCAAAATGTTCTAGTTATTGAAGAAGGGTCGAGCACCGGAACACTTCGTTTGTTGATCAGAAGAAGAAGCGATCGCTGGAACAATGGCTTTATTCGCCTGACGTTTCGGATTCTCTCTTGAATCCATCATCAGAGACAGTTGCAGAAAAGGGTGGCTCGTGTACAGGAAGTCGCAGTATTTATAGGATGCGGTCGCCATGCTACCGCATACCTACAGCAATTAACCGTGCTCCCTTCATCAAGGATTGTTGCCCGCTGGTGCGCTAATTGCTCGATGGCCGGCATGCAAGTTGTTAATTGCTGACATCTCATCACCCGTGTTGGATGCTGGCGTGATGATTGCTCGGCCATCTGGCTCACCGACTTGCGCGCTCCTCGATTGGTCAATTGCTTTGTCCAGTCTATGCCTCAGCACAGAATATGGAGTGGGAATGTCGTTGCACTTGTTGATAGACTGAGGTCCCGTGAACCATGACTCAAGCAACTCGCGGCTCACGCGATTATCACCTCTCGCGAGAATTTCGGCCTCATGATGCCAACTCTCAGGTCGCGGCCCATTCGACGAGACCCGGCCACACATTCAAGTTCGATGAGTCTATCAACAAGTGCAACGACATTCCCACTCCATATTCTGTGCTGAGGCATAGACTGGCCAAAGCGATTGACCAATCGAGGAGCGCGCAAGTCGGTGAGCCAGATGGCCGAGCAATCATCACGCCAGCATCCAACACGGGTGATGAGATGTCAGCAATTAACAACTTGCATGCCGGCCATCGAGCAATTAGCGCACCAGCGGGCAACAATCCTTGATGAAGGGAGCACGGTTAATTGCTGTAGGTATGCGGTAGCATAGCGACTGCATCCCATAAATACTGCCACCTCCTGTGCACGAGGCACCCTTTTCTGTCACTGTCTCTGATGATGGGTTCAAATGAGAATCCGAAACGTCAGGCGAATAAAGCCATTGTTCCAGCGATCGCTTCATCTTCTGATCAACTAGTTCCTGGAACTCGCATCTTCGCTTGTATCGGCACTTCGTTTATTGCCCTGAGCTTTCAGACTCGTGCCTGGGCCTCAGATGAGAACTCGGTCAATCGATTTATCGATCTGGCGCTGGCGTACAGAGCCCTGCTTAGTCATCTCCAGTCTTGCGCCGCCGGTCGGCCTACATGTCCTATAACTGTCGCTTGTTCTGTTGCTGCTACTGCCTCCGAAGATGGACTCCTGCACGAGTTCGAAAGCTTGGGACAATAAACAAAATGTTTCGGTGCTCAACACCTCTTCTTCTGCTTCACTTATACATACACCTGGAACTCGAACTTTCGCCTTTATTCGTGAAACTACAGTGCGTGACCTATCTCATGAAATGTTGGCTGAAATTCTGAAATGCGTTTTCGATTAGGAAGGATTACTTGGTCGCGGTTGTGCTACTGATTAATTTAAGGCATACTCTTATAACATTTTGGACTCGGCTAGATGTTGGCTTTTAATTGCACTATTTTTCAATCTCCTGTAGAAAGCGTGCTCGGTAAAAATGACTACTTAAGTAGCATGCATTTTTCCCATTGATTTTCGATGGTCTTGGAAATTCAAATATATTATGTAGAAACCACAAACAAAAATATGGTTTCTTTTAGTCAATCAATAGAGGATCACGTCTTCATTATATTTTATACTTAACGAAGGAGTATAATAAGGTTTTAAAAAAGTTTTCTAATTGCTGAAAAATTTGAAGCCTGATCATTCGTTGAATTAGCGCTTAGTGATTACACTCTACAAGGTGCATGCGTCCCGCGTAAAAAAAATCACATATTTTTCTATGCCATTAAAGAGATATTATACAGCGTCCATAAAATGTTGCAATGGATGCGGACCATGTTGTACATTTCATGAGGAGCAGTGGTAAACGGCCAGGTACGATGCTATGTGAACGAACATATCGCGGTCTTAAAAAGTCTCATAGGTCAGTATAGGTCAGTATATTTTAAGAGTAATAGGCAATGCCTTTGAAAACCCTATTGTAAACGGTACATGCAATATTTCAATATAAATAAACATGGTACTGAAATTTTGTCAGTAATATACACATTTAACAGAATATTTTGCGAAAAAATGTAGAACCAAAACTTGTGAACATTCAGTTGTAGATGATTTCAGTAAAATGTTATGACAGTCATCCGCATTAGCGGTATGAGTATGCAAGGCGTTGGTTTAGCACCACAGAGCTGTTCTGTTCAGACAAGCGATAGTGTCCAAGCAAATATGCATCGAGTCTTTGCTTGAACGTCTCCGTGGTATCCGCCATTATTACGTCCTCGGGAAGCCCGTTCCAGGCACCGACGACTCGCTGTGAAAAACAGTATTTGCGAACGTCCAGGCGGCATTGGGATCCTCTAAGTTTTAGAGAGTTCCCACGCAGGTTTGTTGTTGTGGCCAGGGTGAAGAAATCGTCGGGGTTTAGGGCACATTCCCGGTTCCTCAATATCCGATTCGAAACTTTTTAAAGACCTTATTATACTGCTTCCTTCAGTATAAAATATAAAGAAGACGTGATCCTCTATTTATTGACTTAAAGAAACCATATTTTTGTTTGTGGTTTCTATATAATATATTTGAATTTCCAAGACCATCGAAAATCAATGGGAAAAATGCATGCTACTTAAGTAGTCATTTTTCCGAGCACGCTTTCTACAGGAGATTGAAAAATAGTGCAATTAAAAGCCAACATCTAGCCGAGTCCAAAATGTTATAAGAGTATGCCTTAAATTAATCAGTAGCACAACCGCGACCAAGTAATCCTTCCTAATCGAAAACGCATTTCAGAATTTCAGCCAACATTTCATGAGATAGGTCACGCACTGTAGTCTTTTCCGGGCTCATGCACTCCTCGCCTTCTACCACGACTTTTAAATGACGTTACTGGGAGGAGGGAAGCCCTCGGCTGTGACTTGCGATTTTTAAGATCAGCGCAATTTTCTGCCTATTTTAAACTGCTTCCTTCAGGCGTCACCGACGCAGTGATTGCAGTCTAGTTTCCTTTCTTTTTTGGTAAATCAGACCTTCTACGCCAGGTGCTGGTAGCCGTTTTTGCAAACGAGCAAACTTCTACCGCTGACGCTGCCGACGATTTACTCGAGGATGACACTCTAAGTGATGGTGATGAGGAGAATGCGGATGGAAAAGCCTGGTTTTCTGGCATTGCTGTAGCTTCTGCGGACTCACCGCGGGCTGAAAATGACTGCCGTTTAAAGGCCGCTCTGCTGATCGCGCGACAACTATTCTCAGAAGACTCTCGCATCGTTGGCTGCACCTACCGACAGTGGTGGGCTGAACACTTCGCTTCCACTCCCTCGAGTATCCCAAACGGAGTTAGTTTCCTTCTGGGCGTTTTTGTTTTGTCCTAGTCGCATGAGATGTTTACATGGGCGGGGGGGGCAAGTTTCCCGACTCTTTCCTTGGCAGAATCACTTTGACATGCGTAGTATCGACGTTACTCCCTATTTCAACGTTTGTTTATATGATTTATTAATGCGCGGCCCTCAGTGGCCATCCCTACTGACATTCACCGTGACGTTTGCGAACCACATATCATAGTACTTTTCCTGCAGCATGAATTTACTTCGAGTAACTAGAGTGTTGAGCGTCTGCATGTATATATGCCCTCCAAAGCTGCTAAAACGCGAAATACTTAGTCTATTTGTGCAGTTCTTGATATTTTCTTTGTAGTTTTTCTAAATTTTGCCCCTTTTCCAAATTTTCGACATACTTCCACTGCGTATGACAAATATGAATTTCAAAGCTGCGCACATACATTTACTTCAAATAAGCTTAACTGAACCGATCACGAGCTGGTACTTGCTGCATATCCGGCTTTCTGGATACAGCGGTTTTTTCTTATTTTTCCCTTTACACTTTTTATCTTGAGTCGGCTCTGAAAAACTTACTTACCTCGGTAGGACTCGAACCCACGACAGCAAGAGGAAGACTTCAGTACAGCTAATGCTCTAACCACCTGAGCTATGAGGCTCCACCGGGAGCTGTGGGTTTAATCACATGTGGGTCCAGTTACCCCCCGAACCTATTGAAGCCTATGAAATCCACCATATTTGATGCAGTAAGCTGAATGCCCAGGCAGGGTTTCCCTAGTAATCCATCTAGAATCCGCGAGCTGTCTATTAGGCTCACGTGGCGCACGTGAGTTCGAATCCCACCGAGATCGCCGGGTCGAAATCAGTTATTCAAAATCTGCCAAAACACCTTAACACTTTTGTATTTAGTTTGATTTTAAGGGACTTTTGTTTCCATAGGCTCTGATTATAAGGTGCAGATTAAGGTCTCTCATCCTCCCCCTCTCTCCCTCTCTTGCTCTGCAAGGGCAGTGGTGTTTTATCGAGTCGCCGCGGTGTTGCCTACCTCGCCAGAGAGCTCACCTCCCTCCTCCCCTACGAGATGAACCCCATCTTCCTCCGCACCCAGATCTCTGTGACACCCTTCTGGGTGTCGGGTCAGAGGGCCGCCGCCCGGGGTGACCCCGACTCCACAGCCGATGTATCGACTAGCTTGGCCGTTGATCAGAGCGAGCAGTGGCTCGAGACGTGGTTGGACTACGTGGATATTGCACGTGGAAGATTGGCTGAGCTGCGGGTACTGTCTTCAACTTTTGCTCTTATCCTCGCCGTGTCATACATACGCACAGTGGTCATGGTTCTTACTGACGGAGAGGTTGACCCCGAATCCTGGCAGTTTCAGGGACGAGATAAATTGTGTCCAGGTAGAGACCGAAGAGACAAATCAGGTTATTCGCGGGGGAGGAGACACGATCGCTGGAACATGTGCTCCATTAGCCTGACGTTTTGAATTCGCCCTCGAATCCATCACCAGAGACAGAGTCAGATAAGGGTAGAGGATTGTCCAGGAGTTGCAATATTTATAGGATGTGGTCACTAGGCAGCTACATGCCCATCACAGTTGGTAGCTCCCGAGTGCATCACGGCTCGACTGGTTAGGTGTTGAAGTATGCCGTTGCTATGCACCTGTATGCCGGTCAAGATTATCAGCTCCCACGCTCATCGCACGCTACCGAGTGGCGGACTACGGATTTCGTCATCCGTGTGGACCCTTGGATGATTTGGCTCACCAACATTAATACCGGGGACATTGGCTATCCGCGCGCTCTCCTCGCAGCTACCTACTTTGTCTAGGCTAATTCTCAGTGTCGCATATACAGTGAGGAGGTCGCTGCGCTTGTTGATTGACTGAGGACCGGAAAACTGTGACTCGAGCAGTTTACGGCTCGCGCGGTTTTTGTCTCTTACAAGAATTTCTGCATAATCAAACTTGAATGTTTAGTTGGGTCCCGTCGAATAAGCCGCAACTTGGGAGTTGCCTTCGTTCCTCCTCACTGCTGCCGCGTGCTCGGCCAACCGCGTCCGTCCCGGTAGCCAGCCACTTGGTAGCATGCGATGAGCTTGGGGGCCGGTAATCTTGACCGACATGCAGGCGCATAGCAACGGCATACTTCAACACCTGGCCAGTCGAGCCGTGATGCACTCGAGATCTGCCAGCTGAGATAGGCATGTAGCGGCCTAACAACTACATCCTATAAGTATTGCGACACCTGGGAAATCCACTACCCTTATCTGACACTGTCTCTGATGATGAATTCGAGTGAGAATACGAAATGTCAGGCTAATACAGCACTTGTTCCAGCGATCGTGTCTTCTCCGCGACTACTTCCTGGAACCTACCTCTTCGCTTCTGTTAGCAAATCAGGTTGCTCTCAAGTTCGATGCCGATACTTGTTTGAAAAATGCTTCCATGGTTCCTGGCCGGCCCTTTTCCTCTCTGCCGACTCAGACACGCGGCCGCCCAACTCGTTTGTGGAGCGAGCATTTTTGTAACGATAGTAATTCCCGCCAAATTCCGCAGTATTGGGTAAAAGGCCTCAGACAGATCCTACGAAGTCGTTCGTGGTTTCTGAAGATATCTTTAGAGGGCACAGCTGATAGCGCGGTCTGCATGCAATCCTGTACTTTCGCCTGACTTGACAGCTTGTTGCGAACCGCTAGGACCTGCCGAAGTCGTTTTAACCGTTTGCCAAAATAATACTTCCCATAGTTAGTGTTTTTAAGAAGTGGGCCTTATCTTTTGATGACGCAGGCTATGGAACTACAGACCCGCAAGGCGAGAAAGTGTTCGCACACTCCGTTATGGAAATATGTGCGTGTTTTTCATCCGAATATCTGTAAATAGGGTTTTCTAAGGCTCTGCCTATCTTCTTTATATGTACCGAACTATGCCAAATTCCCCAAGGGGACCACCACCGTCCAAGAGATAATTCACATTCTCGGGAGTCAGTTGGTGTTTATGATGAGTACTGATTACGGTGAGTTACTGCTGTATAATTGTTCGTCGTCTCTGCGGTAGAAATGTAGGCCAGTATATTTTAAGGGTAATAGGCAATGTCTTTTAAAACCCTTTTAAAAGCGGTACATACAATATCTAACTTTAAATAAACATGGTACTAAAATGCTCTCAGTAATATATACACTTAACAGAACAGTTTTCTTCGAAAATGCAGGACCGAAACTCGAGAACATTCAGCTGTAAATGATATCGGTAAAATGAAATGACAACCATCCGCATTAGCAGTAGGTGTATGCAAGGCGTTGGTTTGGCACCGCAGAGCTGTTCTGTCCAGACAAACGGTATTTTCCAACCAAATATACATCTAATCTTTGCTTGAATGTCTCCGTGGAATCCGCCATTATTACGTCCTCGGGAAGCCTGTTCGAGGCACCGACAACTTGCTGTGAAAAAGAGTATCTGCGTACTTCCTGGCGGCATCGGGATCCTCTAAGTTTTAGAGAGTTCCCACGCAAGTTTGTTGTTGTGGCTAGGGTTAACGTTAGGGTCTTAAAGCCTGAGTTATGGCTACGGTTGCGTTCATATTTGAGTTGGGGTTACCCACTATAGGCATGATCGCGGTTGTCGTCAGGTTCGCAGTTTACTACAGTTTCCCCAGTAGAGTTACATGCCATACTTTTACCAATGCGGGAATTACAAATGTTTTAGCGTGACCTCTTGCCTGGTATGACGTTTCCCCTCCTTTGAATTGGACACCCTTATGCCTAATCAGTCCTCACTTCGCTATCGAACGACTGACAGGCTGAAGACTGCTCATCTTTTTTCGGCAGTGCGTAGAACAGTCTCCTTCCGCGCCGGGGACGTCCATACTAGAACTGCCGACGGCATCCACAAAGCACTGGACCGAAGTTTACACTCTTCTTCAGGAGTACTCTGCTCAGGCGGCAGCGGCAGCGTCATCATCGTCATTGGACAAACCAAACGCCAAACCTCCCGCGTCTCTCGTTGAAATGAGTCTCTTTCGGTAGGTAACCCGAACTTTAGTCACATCCACTTTACTACGAGCTCTGTCATTCAGGTACTCAGGAATACTTGTAAATCAGCCATAGGGACATTGCTTAACAAAGCTACAGCAGTAAGACACGAATCACCAGAAGAGCGTTCATTAAATGCTCCTTATATTCCGCATTAGGCATGCATTGATGTGACGAAGCCTTGGTACTCCCCAGTTTGTTCTGTTTGATCGATTTTTGGCGCTGCCTTTCAAGGCGCCTCAACCAATGACTTTCGCCCACTAAACGCCCACTGTTGTGGCTTGGCGGGATTTCGCAACTCTTTTTTTTCTCGCACCCACCGCCTTTCGATGGTCGCAGGAGACAGCAGCCACACCAACACGTCATACACTGCATATTATTCGGCTGTCTCATAAATTCGTGTGCTTTTCAATTGTTTAAAAGTTTGGAGTTGTGAAAATCCCCATAGCAGTAATCAGAAGACGAGGTGGCGAGCATACATAGCTTTCGATAAATTCTCGTCGGGCCAGTACAGTTATGTGGGAAGGGGGTAGAAGTAAAACACGTCGGCGATAAGAAAAATCTAAGAAAACCGGGTGTGGGAATGTGGGGGATGGAGGGAGGGGGGGGGGTAATAGCAGTCAGTGTCAGGGGCGAGGTGAGAGGGAGGGGCCGGAGTGTTTCAGCGTTAGTCGACCTTCGACCACTGTAGGTGCGGAGCCTAAACGTGGTTCTTCTGTGCGCATAAGATTGGCTTTCGTAACCTTATGGTGGCCGCTTATGCTGCCGCTAACAGGCGCTGGCCTAGTAGCTTAGGGTAGCTCGGTGGGACCTAATAAATCACACGAAATGCTTCGTTGGGGTCTACACGATGTCCGGAATCGACAACATGCGCGAGAATGGTGCTGCTTATGCTCCTCGTTTCGCCTTGTTCCAGCCATGCCGGGAGGTGTTCCCTAGTCGGCTAGCGCAAACTCGTGTGACCAACATAACCTGCTCCGCAGGAGCAAGCGAAGGAAGAAATGCACACTGAAATGGTCTGAGATGTCATCTTGGCCTTACCTTCTCCGCGTAAAATAGAATTTGTAGAGAACGATATTTGAGCCTTTGCTGCTGGGAAGGTTCGCGAGACAGCTTGATCAAGGCGTCTCCTTAGGAGTTCAGTCGCAGCCTCCTTTTGGAAAGGGACTTTGAGGAACAAAGTTTTCTTTTCGGCGGTCGGTGTGGCGGGTTTTTTTCGGTCGTTTGGCAATGTTCTTTGCAATAAACCTTTCAGGATACCCGTTTTCTCGAAGGAAGTCCTGGATTATTCCTGAGCTCCTCCTCGATGCTATCTGTTGAGCAAATCTTTCTACCTCTTTGTGCCAAACATCGGACTAGATTTGTTTTTTGTTGGAGGAGTACGAAACTGGCGAAGTTCGTATATTGTGCAGACCAGGTTTTCTTCCGATAGGCGCTTCTTCGGACACTCCCGTCAGGACTCCTGCTTAGAAGAACATCTAAGAAAGGGAGCAAACCGGCCGTTTCTATCTCCAGCTTGAATTCGATCGACGGATGCGTCTGATATGCAGCATATAAGAGGGTAGCTACGTCGGTTTCTGCAGTGCCAATTGCAAAGATATCATCAACATAGCGACCGTAATGTTTAAGCATATCGATCTTATCGCTTAGTTGGAATCTGTCTAATTTGCCTATGAAGACATCGGCTAGGAGATGTCCGAGGGGTGAGACCATGGCAACGCCGTCTACTTGTCTATAGAGTTGGTTGTCGAACAGGAACTGCACATTTAATGTGCATCATAGTAATAGTTCCTTTAGTGTCTTCGTCGGAATTCCTATTTACTGCTGACTGGCAGACAGGGCGACTAACGCTGCAACTCTCCGCGCCCTTCCGCTCTCACCCCGCCCCTGACACTAACGGCTATTACCCCCCCCCTCCCTCCATCCCCCACATTCCCACACCCGGCCTGTGTTTTAGGGCGAACCTTTATTGATTTTTCTTATCGCTGACGTGTTTTACCTCTACCCCGTTCTCATATAACTGTACTGGCCCGACGAGAATTCATCAAAAGCTATGTATGCTCGCTACCTCGTCTTCTGTTTAAAATTTCGTTATATTCCCATTTATCATTTACAGGGTTAATCAATTATGCATTGCCATTCATTGTTCACAACCTCCTCCCGATGTTTAGGCAGTTTTTCAATCCCGCGCTTAAAGAAGTCCGCGGGTTTTAACGCGAAGAAGCCATCGATCCAATTTCGAAGATCCGCATCGTTAATGAGGGATATTCTAGTCAAATTGTTTTCTAGTGATCAAAAAAGATGGTAATTTGATGGGGCAAGGTCCGGAGAATATGACGAATGTAAAAGAACCCCCCCCCCCCCCCCCCCCAGCCGAGTTCTTTAATGCTATTTTTGGTGAATTTTGCGAAGCGAGGCCGGGCGTTTTCATGCCGACACAATTTCGACGATTTGAGCGTTATTGTTGAATTGCTTTATTAGTAGATGTTTTGGCAGGTTTTGAATAATTCATATTGACCCAACTGTGAAAAACTCGGCGCCTCAGTGGGATTCGAACCCACGACAGTAAGGGGAAGGCTTTAGTACAATCAACGCTCTAGCCACCTGAGCTACGAGACCCCACAGGATGAAGTCAGTTCGATCACATTTGGCTCAAGTTATCCGCCCAGCCTACTGAAACCTCTGGAATCCACCAAATCTGATACAGTAAGCTGGCTTTCCAAGCAGGATTTCCCCGGAGACGCCGACCCTGGTAGTCATCTTGTGGATTACTTAGGAAATCCTGCTTGGACAGTCAGCTTACTATATCGGAGTTGGTGGATTTTTTTCTAACGGCCTCCAGCTCTTTGATTTATCTACTAGAAACGAATAAAAGATGTCGGAAGTGTTCATTTTTTTCTACCTGACATTTCATTTTTCTTGGATTATCAATAATCAAAAGTTAATGGAGATTAGAAGTAAAAAATGAGCAAATTATCTGAGGAACAAATTACATATAAAAGGAATGCATCAGACAAATTTTGAATAATGGCAAACGGTACGAACTTATGTGACAACCCAGTATAAAGTTACGTATCCGTTGGGATATCGATTGAGATTCTGATACCGGTCAAAAGGATTACTTAGGTGAGCTTGTAATATTCGGTATCATGCGGCGTGGTCTACGATATTTCAGCCACGCCAGCATACCGACTTTTATATTTACGTCTTTCCGGCCACCTGCAATAATCTCATTTTTTAAAAATGACTGCTTAAGTAGTGCAGATTTGTGTCATTGATTTTCGATCCCCTGATAAATTCAAGCGTATTTTTATGGAAAGCATGCACACAAATATTTTTTGTATTTACTGTGTAGCAACTTACTCCTTAAACCTTTGCTTAAAAAGAAAAACTTCCGATTTTTTAAAGTCGACCTATGCTATTTTTTAAGATCATGAAGTATTTATTCAAAAAGAGACACATCTGTCCGTTTACTGATGGCACTTATGAAGAATGTAGCGTTGCACATATCCTTTCCATGGTGGGGTTTCTTTTAAAATGAGGACCTTAGGCATCGTAGTTTTAAACCTTAAAACGCTGGCGCAACAGCTTGTCATGTTTCGAATTACTCGGAAACCGGAGAATGTTTTTGAAACTAAAAGGCATAATCTTTTTAGTGGGAATTTGTAGAAGGCGTAATTTGCTACAAAGTGAGTACGAGGAGGAATATTTGGGTGCGCGCTTTCCATAGACTGTTTTTCAATTTATTAGTGTCGGAAATCAATAGAACAAATTCACTTTACTTTGCTAGCCATGGCTAGCAACTGGGATTTTTGCGGACGGCTGGAAAGTCGCGGTTTCCAGAGCCGGCATCCCGTTGTGACTGAAATATCTTAAGGTAGTGTCTCATGGTAATCAGTATTAAAACTCCACCGTTCTAATTATAAAATACTTTTCCAAAAAATTGACTAACATTTCATGAGGTAGAGCAGCTACTTCGATGTTTCTGCTGCTGCGTGACGTAACTGCTGGCGTTCCGCCTATGGTTTCAGGTATACTGCGCGCTGCTAAAGGATAATTTATGCGTTACTCAGAATTTAATTTGTAGATTTATGTGTAAGACGGTTTGTTATTACCCGGCCTAGTATTTGAAAGCACGTGAGAGCGTATGCGTACCCGACTCTTGTCCCCAAGACCAACGCGGCAGAGGAGGACGCGACCGGCCACGAAAATGTGTATTAGGGGATTGCAAGTGAAGACGAACTGTAAGTAACACATATTTGTAACGCCCTCCTGTGGTTCGCCGGAATTCGGCCCAATGTCCTTCGGGAAGAACATTCCAGTCGAGCTAGTTGATGATTCGAATACGCAGATCGATCAGGTCCGAGGGGAAAAGCCAATAGAGAGGCGCCACGATAAAGATGACAGCGCTGTGGAGAAAAAACGCACGGGCCTCCAGTGATTGGCTGGTTCGGGTTTTTGGGAGTGTAGGCACTCCCAGCACGGTCGTTCGAGAAGGTCCGGTCCCAATTTTCCATGTAAACAATTGGTTTAAATACTGCCAGTTTCAGTTGAATACTGCTTTATGTTCACATTTGAAAATCTAACAGTAGCATGTATTGTGCACCTAAAAAGTCCACCACACCTCAACACCTCTTGCACTCTTTTCACTGTCTGCTTATGGATACCGGGGTATGATTATATCAGTCTGGTGATCATGCTCTCTCTCTCTCCTTTATTCTTCTTTTTTCCAACAGTCCGCGCTTCTTCCAGGAGACGTTTCTGCCTCTCTTGCAACGACCACCGCCCTGTATTAGCCTTTCCGCCCCTCTGGAGGATGCACGAGTGCTCCTTCTCCGAGCGATTGATTTATGCGTAAAGCGGCCGGAGACCGGTCGGCTGGCAGGCAGCACGAAGAAACAGCCCGTCACCGGCCGTCGGGTTAGGAAGCGAAAGAAGACCTAAGGGCTACTCTGTCAGACTGCTTGAATAAACACACACAGCTTGCTTAAATTGTCCGGCTGTCTTGCCTCTGTTTTAATTTGGCACCACTACGTTCAGTGAGAACCGGCAACCTGGGGCTGGGCGAAGACCGACTATCCGTCCTTAATCACTGTGATATTCCGGGTAGATTTGTTTAGCTGTGCGTATGAGAATGAGGCTCGTTCGGCTGGTTGCGTTTTAAGGCTACTGCAGAATTCCTTGCCAGACGAGTGACGCGTATAAGCCAAAACAGACTTCGGTGTTTATACGGTACTAATGATAGAATAAAGTACTAATGAAAAAGCATACAAACCTCAACACTAGTTACCCTAGACAAAGAATTCCTTTGTTACTGTTCGAGCAGATCGAATTCCCGGTTCAAGGTCAGGATGCAAAACTAGTTAATTAAAAGAACGCCGATCACGCTCGAAAAAGGGTTACAAAAAAGAGGAAGGGGAATGTCAACAGGGGCCAAATGTAGAAGCACTTGAGAGGAGGGCGTGGAGAATTCCAAGCGTTGACCAGCTGGATACAACACCTACTGTTAGTAGTATATATGAGAGTGGTTTCGCCAAAACGCTTCTGTCACTCGCGGATGGCAGTGCTTTCTTCCGTCAAACAGCTCTGTGGCAGTTTAGTCACCAATGTTTAACCAGAGTGATTTCCGGAACATGGAGTTTTCACAGAAGACGTAGGTGCTCGTCCCAGATGCAAGGGCACGACATCGGATTCACTTCGTCAAAATGACTTTGAAGTGTGCAATTTCGTTATCTGGTTGGCTTGGAAAGAATTTGATAGCTGGATTAGTCACAGGGTGTTTTTATTTTTCCGGCAATTCTGTTGGCGAAACTTGCAAGCTGCCCGAACCAGTGGCCGCTGTCTAGAAATCTATTACACTAACTGTCAGAGTCTTCTCAACAAGCTAGATGAACTCAGATTACTTGTATCTGAACAGAAGCCACACATAATTGTCCTAACAGAGACATGGTTGACTGAGGAAATTAGTAGTAGCGAAATCAGAATTGAAGGCTACCAACTGTTCCGTTGTGACAGATTTCACCGTAGAGGTGGAGGCACAGCTATTTATGTGTCAAATGTCATTGCGTGCTGTCAACGAGAAATATCCGATGGTTCGCCCCGAAATTTTGAAATAATTTCATGCAAGATATGTATCAAACAATTACCTACATTGAACCTGTGTGTTGTCTATCGGCCTCCCAGCTCGAATGAATCGCCGATATGGAATTACTTAGTGCACTGGAGTTGATATGTAAGCAGGAGAACTTACTTCTTCTGGGTGACTTCAACGCTCCAGGAATAGACTGGAACATTCACCAAACAAACGCCCCGTCCACGTCATTTGACCACAAACTACTACAACTCTCCCTGAATGAATACCTCATTCAGCACATAAAATTCGGAACAAGAATGAGAGAAGGACAACGATCTAATTGTTTAGATCTCGTTTTCAGTAAAGAAGAAGGACTCATAAAGGAAGTGAATCCACAACCTCCACTCGGTTTAAGCGATCATATTGCTTTTACCTGCGTGTGCTCTCTCCTATCCAATCAACAACCAAAAATCAAGACACGCAGAAATATTTGGAAGGGGGACTTAAGTCAGTTTAAGTCAGTTTATTAAGGGAATGAGGCTTTCGCCCTTGAGCTCCCTATTCATATCGATAAACAGATATAAAGTCATCAATTACATCAGCAAATGCGAAACGTTAGGAAGTTAGCGGTAAGTGTGAGCTAGGCGCAAACTGCCGCCGCTAAAACAATCATTATTGTATGTACAGTAGGTTCTCAACAAGTGAGCGTCTAGTCTGCACTTGAAGGATTTGACACATTCGGAAAGAACGACGGCGTCAGGGAGTCCATTCCATGCCCCGATGACCCTGTGAGAGAAGGCGTTCCGTCGGACGTCCGAACGAGCCCGCTTCCTTTGCAGTTTGAACGGATGACCACGCAGACTGTCAGTCCGGGCCAATTCAAAGAATTCATCAAAATCTAGGGCACACTCACGGCTTCTGACAATCCTGTAGGTTTGAATGAGATCGCCGCGCAGTTGCCTGTAATTTAGAGGAAACAGATTTAGTTCGGTCAGCCTGGTTTCGTAAGGCAAATGATGAAGATTCTTGACCATCTTCGTAGCCATCGCCTGTACTCTTTCCAGTCGTTGATAATCTTTCTTCAACCACGGTCGCCAGGCCTGGACTGCATACTCTAAGTGAGACCGGACGAATGCCCCATAGGTTTTTCCGAAGAGCTCCTTGTCGATCTGCACAAATCCTCGCCTAAGCGCAAATAACACCCTTATCGTACTTTTGGCTGCCCTTTGACAGTGCGAAGATGGTTTCAGCGAGGAGGTCATTAGGACGCCAGGTCTTTCTGTTCCACAACATTTGAAAGGGACTGACCACCAAGGACATATTGAAAGGAATCGTCCTCCTTACTGGTCTGTCTGGTGCGGAGTCTCAGGACCACACATTTGTCCACATTAAAATTGAGGAGCCAGCGAGCTGACCAACTGTTTAGGCGGTTGAGACTGTCTTGAAGCGCGTACCTGTCTGCATCAGATCTGATGGGTCTCCACAGCCTAACATCGTCAGCAAACATGATGGCGCTGCAGCCCAGGTCGTCGACGCAGTCGTTAATGTAAACCAGGAATAGCAACGGCCCTAAGACGGAGCCCTGGGGTACACCACTTAGAACGGGAGTAGGAGTTGACCTTGAGGCCTCAATGCACACGGTTTGCGGTCTCCCGGTAAGAAAATCTGCTATCCATGTCAGCAGCTTTCCTCTTATCCCATTTTCCGAAAGTTTGTAGATTAGGCGTTTGTGTGGGACGCTGTCGAACGCCTTCTTAAAGTCTGTGTATATGACATCAACCCTCCCATCCTCGTCCAGTGCGCGAGTCTACTGCTCCGTCGAGAGCAATAAACTGGACAGACACGAGCGGTTCTGTCTAAAGCCGTGCTGCAGGTCTGAGATTAAATGGCCCTGCTCCATGAGACGCACTCTTTTGGAGGAAACCTGGTTGGTCAACACAGAAGATTCAGACGAATTTTGGCAGTACTTTCGCGGGATTATAGAGCGTCTGATTGATTCCCATTGTCCAATAAAAATGACAAGACCATGTATGCGACCGCCGTGGGTCAATCCGACGACAAAAAAGACCATGAAGAAGAAACAGAGACTCTGGAAAAAGTATTTGCAACTTCGAGATCCAAGGTCGCTTGCCGAATATAAGGATCAGCGCAATAAATGCCTTAAAGAAATACGGGTTGCTAGAACTTCTTTCGAGCGTCGACTGATAGCAGAATCCATTACATGTCCCAAGAAGTTTTTACGGGTACATCCGCAGTAGGAGGAAACATAGGGACGAAATTGCGTGTCTTAAGGATAGCCTCGGAAACTTATTAGTTGAAGGGTCACAGAAAGTGCGATTACTGTCTCAGTTTTTTCAATCAGTTTTTACGGAAGAGTCCCTAGAAGACAATCAGCAGTTTGAAATGGACCGAGACAGCCGGGAGCTTCAAATGCGCCAAGATATTGCCGTCATTAAAACCGTCGCCTTTTCCGTGGAAGAAGTCAGACGAGTCCTCAGTCAAATAAAACCTGATAAGTCTCCTGGACCCGACGGAATTCCCGGGCTGATACTTAACGAGCTATCAAGGGAGCTGTCAAAGCCTCTTTCGATTCTCTTTGAGCTGTCAATGAGAACAGGAAGGCTGCCCTCACAGTGGAAGACAGCTAACCTCGTTCCATTGCATAAGGGAGGTAGCAGGATGACAGCGAGCAGCTTTAGACCTATTAGCTTAACTTGCCTCCCTTGCAAAACGATGGAAGCTATAGTAAAGAACGCTATGCAGCAATTTTGTGAAGAAAATAACCTCTTGCAGGATTTTCAACATGGCTTCCGGAGAGGACGTTCCTGCCTCTTAAATCTGCTAGCTTGTCTGGAGATCTGGACCAGGGCTCTAGAAGAGGGTTTTGAGGTCAATGTCGTGTACATCGTTTTCCGCAAAGCTTTTGACACTGTCCCACACCAACGTCTTCTTCACAAATTGAGCGACATCGGCATACGGGGAGATCTTCTGAACTGGATTAGGGCGTTCCTGGTTGGTCGGAAACAACGTGTCTGTATCGGGAATGATATGACAGAATGGGTGAATGTGACCAGTGGTGTGCCGCAAGGCTCAGTTCTGGGACCATTGCTCTTCATCCTTTACGTTAACGACAGCCTTCAGGAACTCGACTGCGGCAAAATAATGTTTGCAGACGACGTTAAGCTCTGGCAAGTCATTAAGGGTCCGAATGATCAGAGATCCCTTCAAGATAACCTGCACCGACTGCAAGCGTGGTCGAAGAAATGGCTTCTAGATTTCAATGTGGAGAAGTGTGCCGTCCTTCATCTGCGTCCAACCAACTCTCATTCAAATGAGATTCTGAGGACTTATCACTTGATAGATATAAGACTCCCCGCAGAATCTTCACAGAAGGATCTCGGGGTTTGGATACAGAACAACCTGAAACCAACACTGCAGTGCCACAAGGCTGCAAAAAACGCCATGGGAGTGCTGCATGCAATAAAAAGGGCTTTCGTAAATTTTGACCAAGACCTTTTTGGAGAGTTTACGGCACATTTGTTCGGCCCCACTTAGAATATGGCATACAGGCATGGCGGCCATGGCTAGTAAAGGACCAAGCATGCCTCAAACGGGTACAACTGCGTGCAACAAAGCTGGTAAACGGTCTAAAATGCCATCCCTACACAGACAGACTGACTTGCCTTAATTTATTCCCTCTGTGTAACAGGCAGCAAAGAGGTGATCTTATCCCCGTCTACAAGATAGTACATGGCCTTGAGCATGGACGTAAATTTGAGGACATGTCTCAGTGGCACCTTTCACCCAATCTTCGTGGTCACTCGATGAAGTTACGGAAAACAATGTCCAGGCTGAATCTCCGTTCTGAATT